TTAAGATAAATAGATTAGATCTCAAATAAGAATTTATATACCTTTCAAACTACATATTTTTCTGGTTGAAGAAACTCGAGTAATAACTTTGGTGTACCTTCTTGATGAAATTCGATGTTCTTTCTTGAAGTTATTGATAAATGTATTACTTGCTTTGAAGTTATCCCAATTTAGTTATCTTGCTTTTTGAATTGCAAAAAGTTCTAGATCACTATCATGAATTGCTTCTTTTTCAATTGCTCTTTTCACATAAAATTGGTTCCACATAAATGCTTTGATGTTATTTACTTTTTCTAATCTTGTGCCGTTCTTCTTAATATATATATATTCTCTAAATCTTGTAATATAATACATGTATTTGACTTTTCGAAATCTATTCTTAATAGATGCAAATTTAAAATTTGGATGTTGATCAACTCATTCCACTATATTTTCCATCTCTTCTAATGTAAAGTTAGTTTGAATCTCCACTGATTCATTTTCATCATAGTCACCAATATTTTCTTCCTCATCAGTTGATTCTTCTTCATCCGCACTGTCTTCTTCATCCGTATTTTCATCATATTCATCATGAAAATCGAGACTTTGATAAGTTTATTGTTCATGAAAGTAACCATCTTTAAATATCTTTAAAATTTCGAATAATTCTTGTGAAGAGAAAATTTCATCAGCACTTGTTGCTGAGCCTTCCAAGCAAAATTCGAATTGTGTTTAATGGAGAAGATGTTTTGCAATATTCACCAAATTCATTTTTTTAATCGATGAGGTTAATCTTTACAAGTGTTAGTCGCAATAGAAAATACGAAACAACGTTACTTTGAATGCGCACGTGATTGATACTTACGAATACCATTCACAAAGAAATATAGAATGAATTCTGAAGTGATGCATCAATGCATTTTATTTTTAGATAATTAACGTATGGACATTTTTCAAACCAAACATGTATTCTTTTCGAACGTGGTACTGCTAAACTACAGAAGAAGTCGTATCTTAAGAAGACTAAATATTGTTAGTAAGACTCACGAAGATTTTGGACACTCGCCTCTTAAAAAATTTGATGATTGTATAAAAAGATTGATGTGAATAGGTCACACATTATCATGCTTCTGTACCCAAATAATGCATAACATAAAAATTGAATCTTACTGCTCATCAGTTCCCGACCTTTCCACTGTGAGAACAGAAATGACGGCAAGAAATTTTGAAATTGAGGATCTCTATGAAGTTTCGTACGAGAAACAACATGACACTACTCGTTCATGCTAATCTAATCGTGAATCTGGCATAATTGCAATGCAATGCATCGGAGACCTATATGTTGCTACTGAAGCATGAATATATGATTATGACCGCAGCAGATAGCTGTAAAGTCATTTTTGCATATAACTGTTTATGTTTGAATACAATGATGATAGTTCCTCATAAATATTGAGTACGTTTTGGAATTTTCAGATGGGGTTTATGAGTTGAAAACTAAGGTTTTCAGAAAACGCAAAAAACAAAAGTCTAAATTTGGAACTCAGACCTGGTCAATCTGAAACAGCACATTGGGAAACCTATTGTCCTAAATTTTCATCCAATCAAAATCTTTCGCGAAGAAATTATCCCTGCTTCACGATGACGTTCCATCTGTTAAAAGAAATCATTTGCCATCACCATATTGAATGCTCTATCAGATGGATTGAGTATGTGTTCCAAATTTTGACTTTTGTTTTTTGAATTTTTTGAAAAACTGTGGCTTTTGGCCATAAAGCCCATCATAGAATTCGAAAACATACTCAATATCTATGACAAAAAAATATCGTTACCGTATTCGCACATAAATAATTACATTAAAAATGTTCTTCTGCGCTCCGCACATTGGTCTCCGATGCATTACATTACAATTAAACCAGATTTAGAATTAGACTGGCATGGACGAGTAGTGCCATGTTGTTTCTCATCTGATCAGCTGCGAAGTGCCAGACACCTTTTTTTCCGCTCTGAGGCAAAAACGATGAATCAATTTTAAAGTCGTTTCTATGCGTCCCAGTTTGATTCTTGCCTCAAGTTGTAAAACAAAGTTTGATATTTAAAACTCAACAATTCCGGAAAAAATTTGAGGTTTATTTTTTGAGAAAATCAAGGTCCAAAATCGGGTTTTCTACAAAAAAGAACATTTTTGCCTAAAGTATCCCGGATGAGCAGTTCTTTTGTAGGAAGCCGAAATTTTCCATGTAATGAGATCTCATTGGAATATGATTGCAAACAAAATGCAAACCTCTATGATTTTGTAGCGCGGAGATATGAAGTACCAAAGTTGACAAAAATAGTCATTTTTTCCTCTAATAGCGAAACTCATAAAATACAAAGGACTCAACCGTAGAAGCTGAAATTTTTACCATTTGCAGAAGTTGTGAGTGTATGTATCTACTAAAGATTTCAGATCAATCGGTTGAGTTGTTCTTGAGATATATGGTACGCAAAATCCCCTTTCGTTACAGTGGGATTTTTTTTTTATTTTTTTTTTACATATATATTTATTGTGCCATACAAAAGTTTTCGTTCACAATGAAGTTTATAAAAACCACATAGAAATCTAATAGTTTGAAGAGTGATGAAGAGAGCAAAGGAAAGAGAAGGAAGAAGGAAGAAGGAGGAAAGCAGAAAAAAGATAACAAGATAACAATGTGTAGAGAAACATTTTACTAGTCCCACATAGGGAAAGAAATACCTTTAATTACGGAAGAGATGACAAAGGGTGTGGGTTTGGGATGTGGGTTTGGGATGTGGGTGTGGGTGTGGGTTTGGGATGTGGGTGTGGGTTTGGGATGTGGGTGTGGGTTTGGGTGAGGGTGTGGGTGTGGGGTGTGGGTGTGGGTCTGGGGTGTGGGTGAGTGTGAGTGTGGGTGTTGGTGTTGGTGTGGGTGTGGGTGTGGGTGTGGGTGTGGGTGTGTGAGTGTGGGTGTGGGTGGGTGTGTGTGGGTGTGGGTGTGGGTGGTGTGAGTGGGTATGGGTATGGGTGTGGGTATGGGTATGGGTATGGGTGTGGGTGTGGGTGTATACGGGGGGTGTGGATTTAAATAAAGAGACAGCAAACACGAAAACCCACACCCACCCACAACCATAACAACAACAGCGACCACAGCCACAACAACAACAGCGACGACAACCACAACAACAATAGCAACAGCATCAACTACAGCTACTACATCCCCGGCCACCAATGTGCCTTCTAGTAAGTTTTAAATCGATTGGTTATATTCCATGCACAAGTGTGCTTAGAGTATCGATCACAGAGCTCAAAACCATAGAATGCAACCGACGACCTACGCATTTTCGTTTTACGACAAATAGTTGCAGATAAATACTACGCCATTTGGCGTGCAACCAATATCTTTTCCCATATCATATGACATACTTGTTGAACGTTTGAATAGATTTCGATGGGCCTCGATGTAGTGAAGTGTTTAACTGACAGTATTAGAGTCAGCTACAATACTTCAAATTGAGTTCATTACGTTGTACTGCACAAAGACTTGTTTATCTCTATGATACATCTAATTTCTGATAAATTCTTGAATCAATGTGAAAAGTATTTGAATTAACTTTCAAGCAAGCACTATTTTGGACAACACAGTGATTTGAGATGAACCTGTGTTAAATTTTTGTGGAACATCGATTTAATTCCATAGAGAATTCAAGAGATACTGGCTAAGAATTTCTCCTTTGCAAGCAAAAAGACAAATATGAAATTACTGCCTTACCCATTTCTGATTGTTGATGATAAATGTAAATCCTAATGAAAAATCGTTTGTTCCTTCGCCATCCAGAACTCAATACTACCATTGATTCCGTTCAGAAAATTCTGTAAACCCTCATTTCAGAAAAACAGAAGCGCAAAACTGAATGAATCGTTCGTAACACCAAGATATCCGTGCAGTAACAGAGAAATTTGAAAAGAAAACCTTTGTAACCCCTCCAAATAGAACGCCACCATATAATAGAAGGGCACTCAAACTAGAGCGCCATTTCTGATCACTGAGTTCGCTAAACATAAAAGAACGCCGTACTATTTTATTTGGTCCATAAACAATAGGTTATCCATTAACATATCCACAGTTGCAGGAATCCCATAAAATTGAAGAAGAACCAAACAGAGCTCAAGGACATTATTTAATACATTTATATAAACAAGCAGATAAACAATTAAAAGTTTCAGAAATATCGAAAAAATAGATACAAAACAGACATATTTATTTTCTATTTAATTTTTTTGTGGCACTGTTTTAGTCTGTTGATTTTTTATATACTCGTGGTCAAGAGTTGTAGAACGAACAAACAAACTAGAGAATTTTTCCAAAAAATACATAATAGAACGCCGCCAAAAAGAAAGTGGTTTACTACAATCTAATCGAAAAGGCATACATTTTTTTTGAGAGAAGGATAGCAGAAGTTATATGTCAACAGTCAAACTCTTTCGTTTAGGATGGTCAAGCACCGCTAGTATGAATAGTGCACGAAGCGGACATGCGGCAAGTTTACTCTCTAATGGAAAAGGCTTGGTCGCTGGTGGATACAACCAAACTGCCACCTTAGCTAGCGCAGAACTGTACGATCCATCTACTGGTCAGTGGACAATAACTGATAGCATGAATGCTGCACGAGCTACGCACGGAGCAATAGTACTCTGCAATGGAAAAGTTCTTGTTTTTGGCGGATCTAATTCCATGAGTACTTTATCAAGTGCAGAGCTATACGATCCAGTTACTGGATATTGGAATAAGACTAACAGTATGAATACTTCTAGAGCCTGGAACACGCCAGCAGTACTACTCGCCAATGGAAGAGTCCTAGTCGTTGGTGGAGAGAGTTCATTCGCTGAATTGTTTACTGCATAAATTTATGATCCATCTACAGAACTGTGAACAATGACTGGCCGCATGAGTAAGCGGAGATCTGGTCACACGGCGTCACTACTTTCCAATGGAAAGGTTTTCGTCGCTGGAGGATTTAGTATGGAAACCAACTACGCGATGAATACAGAACTCTACGATCCTTCTACAGGAACTTGGACGGTCAGTGGTGCCATAAGCAAAGGAAGGATTTATCACACAGCATCGGTACTTCCAAATGGAAAAGTCTTGATCGCTGGTGGATGTACGTTTGGATATTGTTTAAGCACTTCCGAAGTTTGCGACCCATCTACATCCCGATGCACAATGAGTGGCGACATGACTAGTGTGCGATGGTATCACACAGCATCGATATATAGCAATGGAACAGTGTTTGTCACAGGTGGAGCTAACAGCGACAATAGTACAGAACTTTGTGATCCATCTGCAGGAGTCTGGATGCGCGCAGACAGCATGAGCGCAACAAGAACAGAACATACAGCATCAACTCTCCCGAATGGAAAAATCTTAGTGGCTGGTGGGTATAATTATAGTTATACTACTTTTAATTATACTACTTTTAATACAGCAGAAATATTTACATGATCATCCACGTGGTGAAATATTACTTATCGGACTTTTGACTAAAACCTTTTTCCATATTCCTATGAATTTCTGTTTAATCTTTTTGAAAACATTTTCTGAAGTACAGTAGGTCCACACTTAACCTCTTCGAGCATCCTTTTACGTATATTTATCTATATTTTGATTATTCTGACGTTTCTATTATTCATTATCTAATATATAGCCTGCACCCGTTCCTTTCTAAAGCTAATATCTATCTAATTTCGTATGACGTACATAAAATTTTTGTTTCTACTTGTACTAAATCAAATAGAAACAGACCAGTCTATATATTATTAACCCTTTGAGGACGGGATTACTTTTCAAAAAGATCACATTCTCGAAACTTCGAAATAATATC